ATTTCCCGATTCGTGAGCTCGATCCACAGTGACCATGCATGCTTGAATTTTGCAACTAACGCTGTAAGATCATAACCTGTCGGCCATTTCCTTGATTTCATATAGCGCACACGGTCTGATGTTGAATTCGTCACTTGAGTTAAGCTACGGTGTAGAATAAATCACTTCGGCACGCAGCACACACAGTATGTTAGCTTCCAGCCTCCTGTGTTTGCCCGATCAGATATACTCGAAGGAGTTATTGGCCCCTTCGAGGGGTGGGTCTTCTTTTCTTCCTGTGCGGTTGCTTTGCGTATCATTTCAAATGTGCTTAAGCTACCTTTGACGGCTTCCATCTGTGTACATCGTATTTCCGGTCCAGCTGAGATCTGAGCTATGACTGAATCTTCCAAGTCCGGTGGTTTATTTTCTGGAAGTCTTGGTAGTGCTACCGCCTGACCGATCTTGTCAGCGGATTTACACCTGATGCTTGTAACCGAGAAACATTGTAACCCGTCAAGGATCGAGTGGCGTGGGCTATAGCGTCGTCCAGGCTATCTGCAAACGTACGTGAAATGACCGCTCCTACGCCGTAGGTGGATGCATCAGACACAACAGCGATATCACGGGACGGGTCATAATGTGTCAAAAGTAGGCCGGAGTCAGCACAGCCTTGAACTTCCGGAAACTGTGTGTGTAATCGTGTAATCGTCTGTTTCAGCCAGTCGAATGGCCAGCTTCCTGCTATCCAACTAGGCGACAAAGTCCTTAGCTCCTGAAAATTATGCACCCACTCTGGCCCAGCTAGCAATTGGTTTCTCGGTCAGCAAACCAATCAACCTTTTGCTGGGTCCATTAGGTGTGCCATCATCTACTTTTAGATTTTTTATCTGTTGGCACCGTTTTATCTGATGCATCATGGCATTCACTAAACGAAACTGTTTCCATCCATTGTCTCCCTCATTCCTCCTCTTCCTAAGCTTCAAACCTCGGCTGTAAGTGCACAAACACCCCATACAACCGTTATTCGTTTGATCTGGCTTGTCCTGGGCCACTCTTCTTTGTGTCCTTTTTGGAGGCACGTCTGTCACTGGTGCTTCTTGGAACGGACAAAGTGCTATTCACTGCGCACTGCCAGCGGGGCGTAGATGGCTTCCTGAACTCCCCCGATTGTTTCTTCGCACCCGGCCTTTGAACAATCTTCGAAACAGTGTGCACGAGGCTGGACTGAGATAGATTATTGCGTTCCATCATGGCTGTATCGTGCTTGAGATTAAGCAGACTTTGACTCTTCGTGGTAACCGTTTGGAGGTTCATTGATGAGTCTTGCCTACCAATCGGGTTCGGACATCGGCATCTCGTTGCAATAGCATCAAAGGAGGTTTCATTTTTTCAGTTGTGTCTGGGTCTTGAGTTTCGAATTTGCGAAGTATTGCTTCTTCTATCCTCAACTTAGACTCTTCAAATTTTGCCTGATGCTGTTACAAAGTCGAAATCAATTCTTCACGTAGAAGTGGCATTTTGGAGTTCGATTTTCAATTATTCCGTCTCCAATCTGTAGTGGACCACATTCCCCTAATGCCCTCTTACTAACCTGAATGCCAGTCTGTATAGCCGCCTGATCGCCTGGTGCACTTGACAAAACCAGAAAAGTCAATCAACTTGCGAGCCAGCTGCTCTATTGAACACTGTCGCGTACAAGCGGGTCAAAACAGTGATACTAAGAATACAACTCATCTGACACGGCGAGTGAAGAACAACCAATGAAATCTGTCTCAATGAAAAACGATTATTCCATTGGCAGTTATGTAGTCCCGTTAAGTTCGGAGCTGTTTCTTCTAATATAGCTAGGCTTCTGTGTATTGTAAATCACTTCGGCGTACACCAAGATGATGCTATCTTTCAATTGTTTTAGAATATGATTATCTAGCGGCTCTGCACGTTTATTATGTTATTGTTTGGAACTCTTCACCTTGCATTCGGTTCGCCCCGTACTTACCAAACGGGAAGCGGCCCTGAAGTATGCCAGGACTTCTACCACCATATCACACCACCTCATTCAATAACCGACAGGATAATTAGGCCGCTCCAATTCTTGGGATGCCGAATTTCCCACCTGAACTACTGGAGCAAAGTACTGACGTTGGGTCAGCTTGTGAGTTCACATGGTGACATGAGCTGAATTTTCATTTCACAGCATACGCCAAAACTTTCGGACAAGTTGCAACGTACCCCATAGGGAGAACATCAGGGACGGTCTTGTGCAAATATTTTCTGGCCAGTTATTTTACTCAAAGTAGTTAGTGCATTTGGTGAAGTGTAGAATGATTGTTACTGGCTAAAAATTCTCGGGACTTCGAGTAACTCCGATCATTTTGTCGCTTTTCTATGGCACTGCGCACTGACCAAATTGTCCCTTTATAATCACCCAGAATTGGGTCACACCTCCACGTATGTTGCTTGCAACTAAAAGCCTCCACAGACATGTACAGACAGACGCTTCTTTTACGACAAATAGAATGAACATATTCGTTTGATATGTGCCTAGCAAGAGACCTGAGGGGATTTCTTCCATCTACGGGTGGAAGGAATAAGGCTGTGTCAATGGTGTTTTCTATTGGAAAGCACCCACTGAACAGTTATGATTTACTGGATAGGGAAGCAAAGATATCACATGAATCTTGTTTATAAAAACAGGAGTATCTGTCGTCTTATACGACGTTCTTGGATACGCATCGACTATTACTCAGACGGAAACGAACGCTACAAAGCAATTTCACAAATTCCGTAAGAAATCTCGACTTTCAATCAATGCGACGCCGGCTTACGTGAGAACCACATACTAATCGCATGTCTTAGTAGTATCTACTATTACACGACCATTTAGCTTCATAATTAATCCGTAACGATTGATAGGAAACTGTATTTGCAAAAATCTGGTGAGAAGAGGCGCGCGCTAGACCATGGCCGGCTGGATGACTTACTAGACTAGATGGATGGTCGAAAATGGCTGGCTGATCTAACTGGAATTTCTGACACACCTGTATTCTAAAAACGTTGTTCTCCCAAAATGTGAAACCACCATAACGCGGACGAAATTCCAGAGGATGATGTGAGAATTGCGTTTTACTCAGCTATTATTATCCTTCATGGCTTTTCAAACTAGCAGACCCCATCATACCGGAATGTCCTGCAAATACTCATATGATCCGCGGTTGCAGGTGCATTGGTAGGAGATCCTTCAAAAAACATTATCTACCGAACTAATTGGCCTTATTTGAATTCATAAACATCTTTCTCAGCATCCGCACGCCAATTTTCACACTGATTACATTTCCCGAGCTATTCATTTGACAACACGTTCTGCCACACTGACGACATTGCAGGATCCGCATCATATCATTTCACTCAAGACTGCATTTTCCTACACCAAATTTTCGACTACCGTTTTTCTGAGCTCAACTAGTGACTTTATTTTTCGCATTTCATTCATTATTGTATTTTATTTGGAGCAAAACGCCAAGAAGTCATCTTTACACAACCAGAGCGTCTTGGATCTAGGTTCATTTATGCCACAATACTGACAAAAATCTCCTTGCCTTACATGCATTTTCATGACTAAATTACAAGCCCACATAAGTTCCTTTACTCAGACAGGAGCCAGCTTTGAGGCGGGGCGACTAAGCTCTACTGCCCTCTCTCTGATACCCTAGATTCTGCCCCTACCCGACCGAGCTCTTCAATTTTATGTTTCGAAAAATAAACAGTCGAACAATCACCAATGAAATTTGCGTGACGATTCACTTTTCTGAAATATATGGTTCAACGCATTGATGTTAGCTGGCTCTCCAGACGCTCTCCTCAACCGAAACCATTCTTTTCGCCAGAAAGTTGCAGGCCAAATAGTGAAAGTTTGCAAACCTAACACAAGTTGCGCCAAATGTTCTACAAACAATTTGCAGACCTGCCCGTTTACATCGTTCACATCACTCTTGATAATTCATTGCGGACACATTCACTCCAGCATGCAAACAGCGCAGTTTTGCATTCGGGAAAGCCTTGAAGTATCTAGGTGATCACACTAAAATCTGCAAAGATTTGATTGGACGAGTGCTGATATTTTATTGGTTGGACAGAATGTCAGTAACATTATATGAACTAGTGTATTCTTCGAACTTCTAAACGACGCTACGCAGAATGCTACTGAACGTGAATTTCAGGACGAGAGGAGCCCAGTTGTTCGTAGCGCTAATTACCATCCAACTCGGTTGCGCAAAGAAGTGTGAGTTGATGAGTGTATCCCTTTTCGGTTTTCGATTACTTACAATAACCGTATAGTATTATACGGTGACAAAATCTAATAAAATATCAAGTAGAATAATGTCGTTTAATATAATATAATGCGATATATAACATAATATATACACAATATCATGAAACACACTAGGATATATATCAAAACACATCGCGTAGTAATAATATATATAATGTAATACAATATAGTCAGACCACACAGCCACACCGTCACAGTTCAAACATATCAGTGATGAACATGATATAACTTTGACACCAATACGGTTTCTTTTATTTTCAGTCGGTGTATTGGACAATCTGTTTGATTCCTACGCACCTATAAGTAAGTCCGCGAATACCGTTACTAAATTTGGCAGCAAAATACTAACCGAATGATTGTCGGATATTGAGGGTCCATAATTCATCAACCACCTAGAAAATGTGGACTGTTACTCACCGTTACGGAGAGGTTAGCACGTCAAGTCGAAAACAGTCACCCGGTCAACGTACGCAAAACGTTGTTCGGACTGGTCATCTCGTCCGACTCTATTTTTAGGTAACCGGTGTGTGGATTCCCGGTTTTATGTGAAGCCATCTAAGGTGCTCAAATAATGCCACAAGGCTAACTCACAGACAAAATGAAACTTTTCAAAACGTTTTCATGTTGCTCTAAATGCTGTTCTTGAAACGACCAAATTGACGCTGTATTGGCAGAAAACAATTGAGCAATCTTGTGTATAAACCAACCCACATATTACGCAATCTAACACCAAGGTTTCGATCTAGCTAATCAATAGCTATCACGTGACATAGATGGGTGTTAGGTTATAACCCATTCAGGTTGATGAAACCGGAATTTGAACTATTGTGGTGCAACCCAGATTTTCTGGTGACCTTGAGAGAGCATGGCCAACATTTGATACGACTGCGCACGAGTCAGATCGAAATTCTTCGCATTTGTTCCGCAATATTAAAAATTGAAAGGCTTCGAGGATTTTTGTGTTGCCAGTGACATACTCCAGTGTTTGTGCTTAGTGTTGTAGCAGTAAAAATACGGATCAAATGTGGTGAATGTAGCACCTATTTACGGTGTAGCCTCCGGTTCGGAGGGCCCTCTGTAGGTCTGAAACACCAGTATGCATATGGTGTGAATTGATGCTATTTAGTGCACATCACAAGGAGCCAAAACAACCCTTATTCACCTTCATAATCGCGCACTGATAGGTTTTGTCTGCATACTGCCAAGAAGGTCTCGCAGACAATTCTTGTACCAATTTGTGACAACCAGAGCATTTAGCGGCGGTTGTTTTTTCTTCCATCCTCGATGATGCGACATGATGGCTTAGACATGTGATCAGCTTGGGTAACCTGGTCAGTTGTTGACGCACAGTAGCCTCACCGGACTGCAATAACGAATATCGCCGTTAAGTAGCCGTTAGACAGTCGGTTCTGCTGACCAACCAACTGCTTGCGACATAGGCAGGAGATTTCGGTTAGCCAACAGGGCACCTGTAGGAAATACTGCAAGATTTTGAGCGCACTCTATGGTGAAGGGATGATGAATGGGTGGAAAACGTCGTTGTTGAGGAATTTTGCTCCGGGATAAGGTTTGGATACTTAGGGATTCCGGTTGCTTTTTTCAGCTGACGCAATAATTTTTTATATATTGGAGATCCAAGTTATGCCTCACTGCGCAATATGTATACGGATAGGATAGGGACTGGTTTGGTTGACAACAACAGCTGATCGCACGTCTCCCCTTTATGTAATGTGACGTAGTAACGGTAGATTCCTTGCCGTTATCGTGGTATAAGTGAGATTCAAGACAGCGAAATCGGTCCGCGCAGGGCTGTCAGACACGCCCACCTATCCACATCACCGGTTGAGAGTCATTTGTTTATCTGACAACGTGGAAAACTATTTTAGCCTATCGGGATTAGATAACCGTTTTGTCTTTTTAGATGTGGAGGAATATGAGCCTTCGGGGAATTTGGAGACCTGTTTCAACTTCACCACCTACGCACACACATCAGGCGCCGAAAAGCAAGCAAATAAGCGATCAAACAAGGACAGCGAGTTCATGAGCTATGATTACAAGTGTCCTAAATGCTCGAAAGGATTTCATTTCCGCAGCCGGCTTACTCAGCACCTTGTAACGCATTCGGACCTGAAGAAATACAAATGTGATTTCTGTGCGTCGCATTTCAAGTTACCCGAAGGTCGCAAGGTTCACATGATAGAGCATCACTGGGAGCTGATGGCGGCCAGTGGGTGTGCCGGAAAGACCCATTATTCTAGTCTTTTAAAACGAGATGTATATTTATGTCACTGCTGTGGAAAACATTTGCGGTCGAAGTCTGCGTTTGATGTGCACGTCGGCGGCCATGCGGTGGAGAGACAATATAGTTGTCTAGGATGCAAACAAAAATTTCCAAACCTGTATACTTTGACCCAACACAAAACACAATGTCGGCGAGAGAACATCACGGACACCTAACTGAAATCAGATCAGAAACTGCTTTGCTCATTCATGGTGGAGAGTTCATTTGGCTCTCAGCATTATCATTCATACATAACTTGTACCTGTAATGAGAGTTACACTGCTTTTCTAAACCATGAGTAATTTTTCCGCAGTTTTTATTTTCACTTGTAGCAGTGTCGGCCAACCGGTTCTCTATTTCCGACTTTGTCACTAATCATACATTCCATCACATGACGAAAAAGGATTCTGGCTTCTTCATCACTTGTGTATTGTCCGAACGGTACATCCAACGCTCAACAAGTGACGTGCGAGGCAAATCTCTTACGTCATATCCCGCATGAGTCACCTGGAAAGATATTGGTGCAAAAGGGGAGTGATTGCTCCACGATAAATTAATTCAGATTTGTTTGTGGAAAAACCCCAAAACAGGCAAACTTGTGGTCCGTACGTATACAGATACATAATGCATATTTGACATGCGGTGGATCTGTAAGCGCGGTCGGCAAAACTCGTGCATTAACATCCGCAGTGAGACCTCCACCGATACGCGAATCTGCCAAAGTGTTATGCAAGTTGCTATTGCAGTTTGGGTTTTGCGGGATACCGGTCCCGCAAAATCTTAAACCTGCAACCAAAATGTTGCCCAGTGGGTTTCAAGCTTGTGTAACAATACCTCACTGTGAAATCCTGACTGGTGGGTCAATCGATCGTCACAACCGGGACAGTTACTGGGTCGTCGTTCGATCGCATCGCACAAGTGGTTACGCGCTCTTCTCGATGTCAGATGTCCGGGGTTCGAATCCCGGCAGGGTCATTGGCGAAACTCGGTCCAATGCTTCCCCCTGGTATGGACTCACCTGAATAATTATACCAGAACAGAAGGACGTCCCTGCAAACGAGAGTGGTGTGACTATAAACAAAACTGCTATTGCTTGACCACAAGGTTGCTCACCAATCCAGTCACCTTATCCTCTTTACTGCAGAACTGCGAAAAATAAGCGATTTCAACTTTTTGACTAAACTCGCACGAGAAAACTCAAAGCAGAATTTTGCGGGGTGGGGGCGAATGGATGGTGCTCTAGGTATCCTTCCAAATAAATACTTACTTGCCGACTGAAACCGACAAAGTATCTATGGATTCTGGATTAGACTCCCAACTTGGATTTGACCAACAGTAATACTCGGTACAAAAATAACTCCTGCATAAACAACCGAATTCCAACTTGGCTAATGCAGTCAGGGGGTCCACATTCGTGCGATCATCAAACACACCTTTGAGACCCGTCAATTTTAGGGAACCGGTAGATTGGAACCATCAACAGAAAATAAAGTTCAGCAAGTCTGCTATAATTGTAAAGTATGAAATTATGGCGTTTGCTTTTGTAGGACACCTGTAGATGTCGACTACGTCATGATTTGTGTCCAATATGAGCAATAACGTAAAAATCGTAGTTAACTACAGATTTCTGCAACTAACCACACAATGCCATCCATCTGGGGTGCATAGATTTGATAGTAACAATGGAAGCCAGTTGCTCACTTCCACATGTTACGACAAAAATTACTTGTGAACAACTAGGCACGTGTAGAGCAACATAGTGGCACACCGCTCAGAAGCTGGTACCAAAACAACTGGTTTTTCCCTCATCTCTTCTTCTTCGATGATTTTGCCTTTCAGTACCCACCGCTTTTGAACGATTATTTAACAGTATTTCAGGAAACGGCAACTGTAGTGTCACAGATTTTTAACAGCGATTACTCCGGGTCACAACAACACGTGTATGCAGGCTAATCAAACCACAAATCTATGGAATAGTCTGGTATATTGTTCTCGTAGCTCTCTCAGTTACGCATGTATGCCATCGCACAATGACAAGGTCGTCAAGACCTGAATCATGAGGCCCGTGATTTTTTATTCTAGGTGAACCAGAAGCTCAATTCTTTCATTTCGGAGCCTTCAACATGATTTAGGCGCCATAGACAGGATAACACCCCAAAAAGGGCAGTTTCGAGCTAACAGTTGCTCGATTATGCATTGATGAGCGCAAATTTGCCTGCACTTCATCTGACGTAACACGGTCTTTGTAGATACGGGAAAATAAGGTAACAAACAGAACCCACCGAGTTGTGCGGGACACCAAAATAGCCATTTTTACCCTGTGACCACCTCAGTGTCCTTGTTCAGATGGAGTACGGGGGTAGCGACAACATCCTTGATTCAAACCCGTTTTTCCCGTTCAGTCGTTCTGTTCAGCTAACCTCGAACTGGCGAAGGAGTCTTGTTCTTGATAAGAACTATGATTTTTCGAATGTTGTTCTCTTTGAAGTGTAATCATCTACAGAACGAAGACAAAAATTGCATTTGAATTCAGGAAGACTGCTGATTGTTTGGGGTCTGCTTTCAAACCAAGGTTGATTAATCGACTGAGATGCGGTTTTGGTTGACTGATAGTCAATACGGCGCAAAACGTTCCAGCTACTTGCCTCCTCTTTCCAAATTTTTGAGGTTTTGCGGGATAGGTATTTTGTCCACAGTCACACCACTCTCGTTTTGAACGGTCGTGTTTCTGTTCTGGCGTACTTATTCCGGTGAGTCCACACCAAAGGGAAGCACTGTACTCGATTTTCGCTCTTATAAGAGCTCATCAGCAGTGCACATCCAATGGCCGTGCCGGAATTTGAACCCCGGACGTCTGGCATGCGAGGCGAGTGCGTGTACCCACTACTCCAACAACGCACTTTGAACGCATCTGAATTTTCACGTCTGAACAGGCGAACGTGTTCACCCTCCCAAATTCATTGTGAGAGCTAACACCTGAACAGTCGGAAACATACAACCGTTGCATGCAATTAGATGTCGAAGGCGATAACCCGCTTCACTTATGAAATCCCTCACCTCCAAATTCTTCGCCTTTGCTCGCCTTTGCGCGACATTCAGATGCGAACAACTCACAATTCACGTACTCATGTAGAATCCGCTTTGGTTCATGAAGTTGTGGATGAGCCACCGCCCTACCTATCATGATGTCATGCTGGCATACTGACATCAAGTATACTGCTAAGAATTGTAGTAAATGTGCACATAAGACTCATAACAAGTCTTCACAGTGGTATCCGTGGCCAGGTACTTGTGAAACATTTCAGAGAGTTTATGCTGACCACTGTGGTGCTTTTCTCGGCAAACACTATGCTTTAATTATTATTGACGCATTTTCACGTAGGCCTGAAGTTTTTCTCACTACGTCTCCAAGTGCCGACTTCACACAACAAGCATTGAGGAAAGTATTCAGCCATGAAGGTGTATCAATTGCTTTGGGTACTGACAACGGTACGCATTTCACTGCAAAATTCCTCGGGAAATGGCTAAAGGGTCTTAGATGTCGATATCTGTTTACTGCTCCTTGACATCCCAGTCGAATGGGCTTGCTGAGAATTTTGTCCGAACACTGAAATCTGCCATTACTTCATCCTCCTGCTTCTTTTGTGGAACTGGACCGTGAGATTAATAATTTTCTATTGCAATGAAGGGACGCCGTTCATTACGTTGCTGGGATGATTCCCGCGTTTCTATTTAAATCTCGCTCGTTGCGCACAAGCCTTGACTGTGCCAAAACGGCTGATGTTACGTTTCTCAAGGGCAACGATCTACGACCTGCTACAGGAAGAATATTTTCATCAAGTGGCAAACGGACGGTCACAATTCTCAATTTGGATGATCCCTGTTGTCATCGGAAACACATTGAGCAGGTTGAGTTTAATACCAGAGGTCAGTCTGTTAACGGCACTCTTGTTGTTTCAAATACTAATGAATCCTTTGTGGATTCCGAAAGAGTGCGATCAAACCCAGCACTGAACTGCAAAAGCCCGCACATTTATTCAATTTGTGCCGAATGTGATGACAATGATTGATGATTTATTCATTGCTCTATTCACTATTCCCTTGTTTTAATATTCCATATGCTGTATATATGCGCCAATTCGAATACATACGTGCTACTAGTTACACTGCACTGAGTTCTGGATTTCTAGTCCATCCGGTTATACTGATATACGTGCGGAACCTAATTCTCACACAAGCATGTATTATTCTATTCTTGCTCAGCGCGTTCCAAACCTTGTGGTTGAAATGCCCTGACTACATTTTCCGCGCGACCTTGGCAAATCATTTCTTATTTGGCGCTTCAGCTTCTGCTTCTACCATACGCCATAAACGTTGATTCTGTGCTGTGGAATACTGGCTTTGAGCCGGGTGACAAACTTATCAACAATAACTTTGTGTGTATGTGGGGCAAACCTCTCATGCAGACGAAGAGCATTCCAGCAGCTGGCAAGAGGCCTAGTTTGGCAGTGGAGTAGGCCCATTTGAAAGTGACATTGCTCAACTCGCTCCGAGTACTGTGGCACAACACGCGGAACCAGGCCGCTGTGTACCTTACCCAAAGGTTTCCAGCAACGTGCACCCAAAAGCTGAGACAAACAACAAAATGTCTGCTAATGCGATGGAGAAAGAAGATACAATGACTCACAGGTCAGACACGCGTGAAATTTGCAGTGGCCTCTGACGGCATTCTGCTTTGCTATTCAAGACAATTTGCCTCTAGGCAGTGTTCTTCTGGAACGCAACGCAACATTTATACAGCTGCAATAACAAAATTACGGATGTAAACTGCAAACTTCCAATACTCATGGTTTGCGAGTTTGACTGGCTTAACTTTTGTGACAACCCAATTTAATCGCCAGTCAGTTCATCTTCTTCACTGGCTGATAGGAACTGTTCCGGCCACT